GAGCAGGGGAATCTCTCGGCCCTGCTTAACAACATGCTTTACATTCACCGTCTCACTGAGTTAATTCATCTCAGCCCTGGATTTCTGTGGCTGACCTTGCCAAGGAGTGCAGACCCCACAGCCTCGGAGGCCCTGGGGCGGGGGGAGGGAGGGAAAAAGGGGAGGGGAGAACAGAAGCTGAGTGAGGGAGAGGGATTCCAAGTCTCAGCTCCTAGCAACCAGAGGGACAAAGGAATTCCTTAGGGAGGGCCGGGGGGCCTGGAGGATCGTGGGTGAGGATAGAATCCTCTAAGGAGGAGGGGGCAGGCAGCAGGATGAGAGCCGAGATTCTTGGGGGACAACTGAACTAGAGCGGGGCCAGGTAGCAGAGAGGCTGAAGGGGTGGCGGGGCGGACTCCTGGGGTCCCTAAAGACATGGCTTTGAGTCAGAGCTTCGACACTCGAGGGGCTGTACGATGAACCTGGTCAAGCCCCTTGCTCTCGCTGGGGCTCAGTTTCTCCATCTGTACAAAGAAGGTGGGGGGAACTAGATGCTCTCTCATATGCTTTCCTGCTGTAATGTCCCCGGGGTCCTCCCCACACAGACAAAACACAATTCTGCGCTCGAGTTAGGACTGTATGGAAGTCCTGGCCCGCCCCCTGGGCGGGCTTTCTCAGGAAAAAGCCAATCATTGGGAGCCCCGTTCCCACCAGGGTTGGGGTGTATTTTTTAAAAGAACAGAAAATTTAACCCCTTCCTGCCCACATGGTGGTGTTTCCTAGCTACACGTGAAACAAAGGGCTTCCTCAAACTTCCATAGGGAGAAAAGCTTCATCTAGGGATGTTTGGTAACAATTATAATAACCAACATTTATAGGACAGTCTATCTCCTTTGATTTTTGTTGCTGTTCAGTCGTGTCTGACTTTTCCTGACCCCATTTGGGGGTTTTCTTGGCAAAGATAATAGAGTGGTTTGCCATTTTCTTTTCCAGTTCAGTTCATTTTACAGATGAGGAAACTGAGGCAAACAGGGTTAAGTGACTTGCACAAGGTCACACAGCTAGTAAGTATCTGAGGCCAAATTTGAACTGTCTTCCTGACTCCAGGCCCAGTGCTCTATCTTTTTTTTTTTTTTAATTTTGGAAGCAATGGGGATTAAGTGACTTGCCCAGGGTCCACTTCACCACCTAGCTGCCCCTCTCTCTCTTACTCATTATCCCAAATTTACAACTGAAGAAACTGAGGCTGGGAAGCTAAGTCACTTGCACAGGATCACACAGCTAGTAAATTTCTTCGGGAAGATTTGAACTCAGCTCTTCCTGGCCACCCAAATCCAGAGGCACTCTATCAACTCTACAACCTAGCTTGTGTGTATGACGGGGAGGAGCAGAGGGCATTTCTGGGGAGCCAAAGGTGGAAGAACCTGCCAGCAAATGTGGAGACTCAACTTGCAGGAAGTCCCTCACCCTCTCCAGGTCTCCAGTTAGGTTAAGAAGTGGAAAGGGCATAGAATTTGGAGTCAGAGGACCTAAGTTCAAATCCTGGCTTTGGCCCCTACTGTGTGATTTGGGCTAAGTCACTCACTTCATGTCTCTAGGCCTCAGTTTCCTCAGGTGTAAAATGAGGGGGTTGGACCAGATGGTCTCTTAAGTTTCCTTCCAAGTCTACAACTGACTGTGATCCCAAGTTAGAATTTCTGGGAGCAGGGGTGGGGATTTATCTATTATTTCTTTGGTATGGGGAACTCCCAATGAAGGGATTCCCTCGGCCAATGCAAATGAGTGCTTGCCCTTTCTGCTAGCCTAGACCACCTGGAGGTTAAGTGACGTTGTCACAGTAAAATTGGTCACACTGACTAGATGAAACCTGAAGTCCTTCCTAGCCTAGTTCACACCTTCTGCAGAGTCTGCTCTGCTCTGAGCATCCAGGACGTTCCTTGCCAGAACAGACTGCCGCTTGGTGACCAGTTGGCTGGAGGCCGGATTTGGCCAAGGCCTTGGTTTGGTTTGGGGAGTAGAGGAAGTCTCCAGGCAGTCTGGAGAGGGCCTAACCTCACCTGATTCATCTTACCTGATCTACTTCCAGAGGGCTGCCTTGGGCTGAGCTGTCCCTGGGAGGGGCCTCCCTGGCTACCACTAGGAGATGTCCCTGATTGAGGGTGGGGGCCAAAGAAAGACCAGAGTCCCAGACAAAGAGAATTACCTTTGTAATCCTCTTATCTGGTATATATGGATTTATGCACCTGATGCTCCCTCCTGCTACCTTGCCCCAGTTCCAGAATGTAAGTTCCTCGAGGACGGAGATTGTTTCTTTTTCTGTCTTTGTATTTCTAGCACCCAGAGCAGCTAGGTGGTGCAGTGGATAGAGTGCTTCACCCAGGAGTCCAGAAGACCTGAGTTCAAATTCAGCCTCAGACACTAGCTGTATGACCTTGGGCAAGTCACTTAACCCTGTTTGCCTCAGGTTCCTCATCTATAGAAAGAGGTGGAGAAGGAAATGGCAAACTAATCCAGCCCCAAAAGGGCTCACAAAGAGTCAGACACAACTGAAATGACTAAAGAACAAATCCCTAGCACCCAATACAGTAGTGTCTGGCATACAGTGGTTGCCTAATAAATGCTGGTTGATAAATTGGCATTATATGGAATGTGGGAGAGTCCCTACACCCTGCTACTTCTTTCTCTTTCTGGGAAGAGGCTGGAATCTACTAACTTTTCATTCTCTAAGGCTGACCTGGGTGAGTAATGATAAAAATAATGATAAACAATAATAGCTGGCATTTATGTTGCACCAATTATGTGTAAGGCCCTATGCTAAGTGCTTTACTAATATTATCTTATTTGATCCTCACAGCAACCCTGGAAGGGAGGTGCTATTATTATCCCCATTTTACAGTTGAGATAACTAAGGCAAACGATGAGTTGCCCAACGGGCAAGCTAGTAAGTGTCTGAGGCTGGATTTGAACCCAGGGCTTCCTGACTCCAGGCCTTGAGCTCTATCTGCTTTAATAGATAAGTCCCATTTCTATAGCACACTAACATTCATAAGTTACTTTTCCTCTTAATAATCCGCTATGGTACATAATACAATTATTGTCCCCATTTTACAGATCACAAGACTAGAAACCCAGGGAGAAGTGATTTGCCCAGGATCATGCAGCTAGTAAGTGGATGAAGCTGGAATTCAACTCCAGGTGTCTCCTGCCTTCAAGCATACCCATAATGCTTTTCCTGGTGTGCTTCCATGCCTGGGAAGAGGCAAACTATGTAGGATGGATCAAAGGTGGGAGAGGAAGGAATAAAAGCAGAGACAGGTTAAGAAGTGAAAAGAGAGTTAACTCTGCAGTCAGAGTCTTTGAAGCCCTTGGGCTTCAGGCATAAAATGAGAGGTTGGATTAGACAGTCTAGTCTCTAACGTCCCCTCCAGTTGTACAGCTGTGCTGAGAGCCAGGGTGGGGTAGAGGGTAAGGTCCTGAGTCTGCAGTCAAGACAGACTCAAATCCAGCCTCTTATACTTTTTTTTCATTATAAAACTCCTTCTTTTTTTTTATTAATTTTTTTTGATTTATCAATAATCACTTCCATACGCTTTTGAGTTTAAAATTTTTCTCCCCCTTCCTCCCTACGACCCTTCCCAAGACGGCACACAATCTGATACAGGCTATACATTTACATTCATATTAAACATATTTTCACATTAGTGATGTTGTAAGTAGAAATTAAAATCAATAGGAGGAACCATCAGAAAGAGGAAACAAAACTCAACAGAAGAGAAAAAAAATAACAATTCGGCTTCCATAGTTCTTTCTTTGGGTGTGGATAGCATTTTCCATCACAAGGCCTCTGGAGATGTCTTAGATCCTTGTATTGCCAGGAAGGGTTAAGTTTATCAATATTAGTCATCACGCAAATGTGGCTGTTATTGTGTACAATGTTCTCTTGGTTCTGCTCACTTCACTCAGCATCAGACCATACAAGTCGTTCCCGGTTTTTCTGAAGTCAACCTGTTCATCATTTCTTATAGCACAATAGTATTCCATCACATTCATATACCACAACTTGCTCAGTCATTCCCCAACTGATGGGCATCCTCTCAATTTCCAATTCTTTGCCACCACAGAAAGAGCTGCTATGAATATTTTTGTACATGTAGGTCCTTTTCCCATCTGTGTGATCTATTTGGGATATAGCCTTAGAAGTGCTATTGCTGTGGCCTCTTACACTTGCTAGTTGGACTCAGTTGGATTCAATTGGTCTCAATGGCCTCTAATGTACCTCCCAGCTCTAAATCTAGTGTACTAAGCTGTTCAAATCTTTTTTCTCTCCAATTGAATCTGTGATTTCATTGGCATAGAGAATTCCCAGTTAGATGACTTCCTCCACCAATGCAAACCAATGCTAATCTTTGTTCATTTTGTGGTATTAGAGCATTCTTTGGGGCACTGAGATGTGAAGTCATCTATCTGCCCAAGGTGGAACAACCAGGATGAAAGGGGATGGGGACCAAGGTCATCTCAACACTGAGACTGGCCAAGTTGCCTGGGAGGTTGTTATTGTGGGTCAGGTAAGATGAAATGAAGGTCAGATACAAGGTTCTAGATTGTCAGGACCAGAAGGGAAGCTTGAAATCTATACCACAACTCTTTCATTTGACTGATGAGGAAACTGAGGTCCAGACTGGAATCATTGGATTGAGCTGGGAGAGACTGGTCCAATGCCATTATTTTCTAGATGACTGTCCAGAATGCCTATGGCTTGCCCCAAGGTCACATAACTATTTAAGGACAGACTGGAGACCAGTAGTTAGGTCTTCTGACCCCTCAACAATCAGGTGCTTTTCACTGAAGTAGACACTGACTAGCTTACCCTTTGAGGAAAGTCATTGTTTGCCTTAGTTATCTCAACTACAAAATGGGGATAAAAATAGCACCTACCTCCCAGGGTTTCTGTGAGGATCAAATAAGACAATATTTGTAAAACACTTAGCATAGGGTGGTAGAAATGGCAAGAAGAACTCAAGACAGAGATGAGGAAAGAAGCTTAGAGAGGATCCAGGGACCGATTGGCAGCAAGGTGGTAAAAAGGTGAAAAAGAAGAATCAGTCAGAAAGGAGTTAGAGATTTTGGACCCTGGGTGGGTGATGGAGAGGACAGTGGAGTCATCTACAGAAACTGGGAAATCAAGAGACAGAGTTGGTATAGAAAGGAGGAAGGTGAGTTTGGTTTCCAATCTGTTGAATTTGAGGGAAAGTAGAATATCTCAGCCAAAAGACCCTAGTGGGGCACAGGACTGGCATTGGGGAGAGAGGTCAAAGCTGAAGATATGGGATTTTGGAGTCATCTGCATGAGGAGTTTTCAGAGGTAGTGAGCTCCCTGTCTCTGGAGCCGAGACTGGATGAGCCCTGGTCTAAGATGTTATAGTGGGGATTCCTATTCAGGTATGCATTGGATCAGGTGAGTGAATGTATTTTTTTAAAAACATTTTTTAATGCCTACTATGTGCCAGGCACACTAAAATATAAAAGTGCCCTCAAGAAGTCTGTGTTCTAATACGAGGAGACAATACATAGGCGGCCAGTGGTGGCGGGTGAGAGGTTTGGTGAGTCCCAAGTATGGCAAGTGGAGATCCAGGGCAGTTAATTCTCACACTCTTTGCAGAAGCAAGGGTGGGTACTATTGATCTGATTACTATTCTTAGAGCAAGAAGTAGGAAGTAGGGGTGGGGAATGGAGGGAAAGCATGGTCTGGAGCCAGCTAGAGATAGAGTTAGAGATAAACTTTCTTCCTCCTCTATTCCCTGTGTCCAGGGAAATGAGGCAGGCAAATGAGGGTGGTGATGTCAAAACCATTGTTTCCTCCATTCTCCCTGCCTGTTTGTCTATCTGTAAAATGAGAGAGCTGGAATTTTAGGTTCTAAGACTTTATGATTCTAGGTGAAAGTTGAAGCTGTAAGAATGGATGGAGATTCTGGAAGGAAGGAAGGGAGGGAGAGAAGGGGAAAAAAAGAGGAAGAGAGAGACAGAGAGAGAAAACAGAGAGATAGAGAAAACAGCAGAGAGGTGAGAGAGAGGAAAGAGAAGAGAGAAGAAAGAGAAAGGGCAGGAAAGAAAAGAAGGAGAGAGGGAGGGAGGGAGAAAGAAGAGAAAAGGAGGGAGAGGAAGGGAAAAGGAAGAGGAGAGGGAGAAGGAGGGAGAGGGGAAGGGGCTGAAGACAAAGGAGGAGAGCCTGGAGCCAGAGAAGGAACAGTCAGAAAAAAAAGGAGGGGAGTCCAAAGTGTACAATATAGTTATTTCTTCCATGCCCCTTTCTCTGTTCTGAGCATTGTCTCTACTTTGCCCACACTTCTTTCTGTCCATTAGTTATTTTGCCTCTGCATATCTTTGTACCCTAAGGGGCTGTGTCTCCCTTCTCAGACTGGGGAGCACCCTGAGGGCAGGGTCTCCACCATCAAAGAAGCCCCCAACCAGGGCAGGGACCATGCCTGTTTCCCTCTGACTATCTCTAATGTCCAGCCCCAGGCTGTACTGGGGACACTCAGGAATGAATTCCCAGCCCATTCCCTGCCATAACCCCAGACACAGCTGGCATGGATCAGGAGTGGAGATGTATCCCCGACTGGGTGCAAACCAGGCTGAACATGGAGCCTACAGGGCTTTGCCATAGGGCAGTGACATCCAGAGGGGGTGAGCTTCCTTTATCCCCAGAAGGTTGCATTTCCTTCCTATGCAGACCACTGTTTTTGAGCCTTGATTCAAGGCTCCCCACTTCTCTTCTGGGGACCAGGGTTAGGGACCTCCCCCTCCTGGTATAATTGTAAGGACTGTCTTAGGTAGCTAGGTGGTGCAGTGGATAGAGCACTGGATCTGGAGTCAGGAATAACTGAGTTTAGATGTTGTCTCAGACACTAATTAGTTGTATGGCCTTGGGCAAGAAAATGTAATTCTCTGTTTCCTCATCTGTAAATTTGGAGTAATAGCACCTTCTTCCCAACATTGTGAATATCAGATGAGATATCTGGCTAGATATTATTAGTCTGTACCACCACCACATTCCTTCCCCCAACTGTTTATTGATGCCTTTTTCATTAATACCACAGTCATTTCTGGATATACACCTACCCTCCTCTCTCCTCCACTTCACCCCCCATTAAGCAAAACCAATGAACCCGACAACCTCATCTGACATTTGCAGCATTCTACACCTGTGGTCTCCCACCAGTTCAAGGAAAGGAGAGAAATGCATTTCCATATCTCTTCCCAGAGGCCAAAAATGGTTATCGTAGTTACCGTGGCATTTGGCTATGTTGTATTGTTCTTTGCGTTTTTATTATTGTAGTCATTCTATCCTTCTGGGTGTTTTTGCCCCAGGTTAAAAAAAATTCCTTTGAGACTAGGACGTAGCTTATTCAGTTGTCCAATTTTCACTGACCTCATCCTGGGAAGACAAATCTCAAAGATCTCTGTCTAGCTTTATTCTTAGGATGGAAGGCATTTTAGGAAGGAGACTATCTAATCTGACTCAAAAGAAACATTCATGCTTCATAATATATGTAGGTGCTTTTACTGCCTTACAGAAATGCATAATGAGTACCACTCCAAGAGGCTTTCAAAGGCATGCTCAATAACCCAAGGGCAAGGCTTGGGTTATTCAGTTAGGTCTGAGGACCTCCTGAGGGGTGGGGGTCAGGGGGCGCAGTCCTGGTCCCTCCAGATGTCCCTGCCATGGAATTCCCTGGGCTTACCTCCTGGCTCATTCACCTGGGAGTACCAGTTATTTAAGGAGATCTGGGCTGTAATTCCACTGCTGGCTTGCCACAATCCCTACCCCCCCCCCCAGACCTTGGTGGTCAATATTACCAATTGCTACAAATGTCAGCGGGGTTCCTGTAGCTGGCACTCCTAAATGGGATAAAAATGTAGCCCACTCACTCCCACTCTCTCCGTCTCCAATTTCACCAAGGCAGGTGCTGGCCCCGGGGTCTCTTCCATTACACAACTGGTTGATATTTTCAGGCTGAACTGCTGCTTCTCATGCTATCATTGGCTGCTCTGCTGAACCCCTACCCCCACCAAACACACGAGAACACACATTGCTGCTGGGGTACATACCCCTGCTGGAGTTGCTGTCTATATTGCTTCCCATAATGCCACCTCTTCTGGGCTTGGAGGTCATCTCGCCCACCAGTCTACCAACTACAGAAGAACAACAGGGAACCACGGGGCCTCTTTAGCCAAAGCAGTGTTCAGTTGGAAGAGCCCTGGATCAGAGGACTTGAGTTCAAATTTGATCTCAGTTCCTTCCTACTTCTGTGATCTTTTGGAAATCACTTTTCCAAGTCTCAGTTTCCTCATCACATAGTGACTGATTAACTCAGTAAAGAACTGATTTGACTGACCCTGTTAACTAGAGGGTTCAGACTAGATGATTTCTCTGGTCCCTTTCGGCTATGCATCCATGATTCTATTCTTAGGTGATTACCTCCAGACCACTCCATCTTCTCCTCCACTGGGATGTGATGATCTCCATAGTGCTCAACTCTTATCTCCTGAATAGCCTTTGTGAATGAGCATCACTCCTGTCAGTCCCCCTTCCCCCCCACCCCATTCCCATGCAAGCTCACTGACCCACTTGTAAGACAGTCCCTTGAAAGTGCCCAGCTGAGGGCCAACCCTGAGGATTGATTTACTGACTCAGTAAAGGACTGACTTGACCAACCGGCTGAGCCAGGAAATGAATGATTGAGCCAATGAATGAGCACATGGGTGTGAAAGTGAGCTAGTGAGGGAATGAATGAATGAATGGTTGGAGTGAGCGAGTGAATAATTGACTAAGTCCTGCCAATGCTACCTTCTCTATTGCTCTCATCCATTCCCACCTTTACCCTCATGTATCTCCCATCCCATTCCAGACCCTGATCACCTCTTGCTTGCCCAATTATAATTGCTCCCTAATTGGTCTTCCTGCCTCAAGTCTCTCCTCTCTGTTCCGATCTATTTTTTACCCAAGTGCTAAAATAACCTAACCTTCTTTGGACACTGGAGGTGGTCCCTCCCAGGCTGGAAATTCAGCAGCTACTCATGGCCCAATCCCCATGCTGATCTGCACAGAAACTTTGACCTGCTCTGTTTCCCAATGACCTGGGCTGATTCACTCCTCAGACAGCCCGGTGGCCCATACTCGGGGACTCACCTTATTGGTGCCACACAGTACAGACCCCAGATCAGCTTTAGCCCTACCAAGGTTCAGACCTTCCCAGTTCAAATGATCCACCAGGCTCAACCTCCCCAGTAGGAGAGATTACTAGCATGTGCTACCCCCTCCCCTCAATAATCTTCCTAAAGCGTGTCTGACCTTTTCACAATCTTGGGTGGCTTGTTGTTGGCCAGGGGACAAAACACACATTCCCAGACTGAGTATTTAAGGCCCTCCGCCACCTAACTCTAACCAATCTTTCCAGGAGAATTTTGCTTTACTCCATTTCATGCACTCTGTTCCAGCCAAATGAAATTACTTGCTGTTCCCTGATTTTGTCTTGTGCTTTCCTTCCTCCGTGAATTCACACAGTCCACTGTCTCCCATCTGCCTTGCCCAGAATTTGCTCTCCTAATCTCCCCCTGATGAAGTCCTTCTCTTTCTCTAACGAGACTCAGCTCAGGCGGTACATCCTCCATGAAGCTTCCTGCGGTCCTCCTCTTCTCTTCAAATTTCTCCCAGTTGTTTCCTCTTCTTTTCAATCACCCTCTGCTTGGTAGGATGTTGTAGTGGAGAGATAGCTAGACTTGGAGTCTTAAAGATCTGGATTTGAATCCTACCTCCAATATTTACAGTTTGTGACCCTGGTTAAGTCACTTTCATACTCCTGGGCCTTGGTTTCCCTATCTGTAAAACAAGGGTGGTAGCAGGAGAGGATTAGGGGAGGAGAGGTGGACCAGAAGGTCTTTGAGGTTCCTTCCAACACTGGCGCTTGGATTCTATGGTAACAGGTGCTCCAATAGAGTATCTCCCACGGGTCTGTAAGCTCCTTGAGGGCAGGAGCTTCATAGCTTGGCAACTTTGTATCCCAGACACCAAGCAAGATAACCATGTATATAATAGGTGCTTAATAAATGTATATCAAATTGACTTGAGAAAGTGGCTAAGCGACTGAAAGAGAGGCTTGCCTCCTTTCCTCTCTCCATGACTGCTGGCCTTCTCCAAGGTTCTGTCTTTGGT